TCGAGACCAAGGATACTAGTCAGGGTGAGCTAAGCGGCTGTAAGTGCTGTAACAAAAGGCCCTGCAATAACATGGCTCAGTGTACAAAAACGTTTACCACTTTCTCACGTAACAATTTGAGGTACATGTTCCATCATAGGTAGCTGTGTGCCAGGTGTTCTGGAGCCCAGGTGGAACACGGGGCTGCCATTTTCAATGTGCAGCTCTCAAGATTCCTCTGGTCACCACCATTCCAGCCAGCAGGAAAGAAGTCAGGGTTCCCAGTTAAACAAGTGAGGCAGAAGTGCTAAACATCACTGCCACTAATGTTTCTTGGCAAGAACGTCATCATGTAACCACACTGAGCTGCAGGAGTCTAGGAAATGTATTCTGTTCATTCACCTAAGAAGAAGGGAAGGGGGATTTTGGTGCCCTGCTGGTGGTCTCCATCACACAACCTGTCATGGTGTGGCTGTTGATTTATTGGTCTCTGGTCTCTGTCACGTAACCTGAGTTTTAATTTCAGCATGTGTTGATGATATTGCTCAGTTTAATGAATACCCAACATTTCTATCACACCATCATGTTGACTTGGCTCTGTGATGGAAAGAACTTGACAGCTTCTCCAACTGGGACTGATTTAAACAAGCAGTAAGTCCTAACACTTCACAGTGAAAATGAAAAAAAAAATACAACCTGAAATTTCTTAAAAGTCAAGAAGTGTGCTTCCCAAGGTAAATGAACTGATAATTTTTGGAGCAGTGGGCACATTCTATGTTCCTCCCTTCCTCCCAACATGCCTGTGCAGGATGGGAGGTAGGGATTATCCAATGTGGCCTCTGATACGAGGCTCTAACTCAGCAATAGGACTCATAAAAAGAACAGCTATTTGATTAAAAAGACCCCCCAAATCGGTATTTTTGTTTTAATGATTTGTATGTCATTTAATAATAAAAATGTAAAATAAAAGATATTTTTCTAATATTTTACCATTTTGTTACTATGACGTAAAATGGATTTAACCCTCCAGTTATTACGAGGACGGGTTGAGGGAGGTTCTATTATGAAGAAAAGAAAAAGTTATGATTCCAATTTTGATTATTTTGCATAGCAGTGAATTAATCCGTGAGATTAATTTTTGCTGTCTAGTTTAACCCATGTGTACCTTATGAGTCCTGGTTAATATTTTTTTGATCCTCAAAAACTTTGTAAATGTAATATCATTAAATTTAACTTTAACTTCAGAGAAGGCAAAGAAACTGATATAAAGTTGAAGGTATTAGTGAACTTTAGGTAATTGTTGCTTCCCAAGAAGAAATGTGAGTTCCTAAGACCCTCTGGAGTTTAAAAAGAATACGAAGCAGATTAAAAGCTTGGAGGTCATTATGATTTTGTTTGCTTCTTCCTTACGTCTGTGCTCCTTCTCGGAGCTTGTCTGGATTTCATGTCTTGGCTTCATTTTCCTTTGACTGCTTACTCTTGAGTGCCACCACTAGCTTTCCTCTTCTCCTTCCCTCTCTGAGCAATTCAGTCCTGAAGTTTTCAGGCAGAACAAAGCAAAGGAGGCATCTGTGTGCACAGTAGCCCAGAGTGGGGTCACAGCCCAAATGGGGTGAGAAGTGTGTCTCCATGAGATCATCTAGAAAGGGGAGTCAGAGTGCAAGCAGAGTGGAGCAGGGGTCCCCACAGGGGGCGGCCCAGTGGAGGAAGTCAGAACTTGATCCCAATGAGAGGGGTCCACAAAGACAGGCAGATACTCAGGACCTGACTGAGCCCAAGAGGTGGTGGGGAGGGGGCTCATGCACAGGGCAGGCTGGCAAGAGGCGTCAGGTCTCAAGCTAGTGGAGAAGGTTGTCCCTAAGAGGAATGGCCCAGTATGGGAGTGCAGCGCCCAAGCAGGGTCAGAAGGACATTCGTGGTGGGGGTTGCCTGGTAAGGGGGTCAGAGCCTGATCAAGTGAGGAGGCCACTCCTTCAGAGGCTGAGGGTTTGGTTCAGAACAGAGATTCGGAGCCTGGGAAGGGGGAAGAAGGTACCCATGTGGGGAAGGCGATGGTGGCAGAGATTAGAGACTGGTAACATACAGGAGGATTGATGAAAAAGTAAATAGACTAGGGAGAGTGGAAGCCAAGTGTCCCACTTCCAAGGAAGGGATTTACAAATACAGAAAAAGAAAAAACTGGAAGTCACCCCTGTGGTGCTAGATTGAAATTGGGATGTTGGGTTGTATCAGTGTGAACTCACGGTTTTTGATATGTGTACATGGGTATAGAAATAAATACAGATGCAAAGGCAAGCGTGTGTGTGCATATGTGTGTGTGCATGTGTGTACATGCACATGTGCCCTAGCTCTGCCCATTGGGAGAGCCTGGGAGTAGCACCATCCCAATGGCAATGAGCACATCTGAGTTTCTAAAGACTATCTTCCCCTAAAGGAACCAGGGATCTTTGGATAAAAAGCTGATTCCAGGGCTGGGACAGAGAAAGTACAAGACGAGCCTGGAAAATCTTTTTATGCTCCCCAAGCAAGGAAGTATCCAAAGGATGTTGGGGACATGTCAAAAGGACACATAAGTCAGCTCAAATGGATTCCCAACAGACAAACAGGAGTCAATTTGAGCATTGAAATAAATGACAGTAATATACTATACCCCATTGAATAAAACAGAAAATCATTAGCCCATATAGATATACATAAGCAAATAAGTAATTTGAAAGTTTGTGTGTAACAGGACAAATATATCACATAACAAAATATTTATTTATTACAGAGGAAAGCAGTGACTTTAAAATGGGAGCATCTAGAGGACAACACTTTAAACAAGTGATCAGGTGAACATCGTCAGTAACGGGATACAGGGACGTGCTGATAAGAACACAGCACCACTTCTGTGTTATTCCTGTCAAAGATGCAAAACCTGAATCTAATCATGAGGAAACAATAAACAAATCCAAACTGATGGATAATCTACGAAATAACTCCCCTCAATAATGTCATGTCATGTAATCTTTAAAAGTGTCCTTCCATGAAAGTCAAGAAAAGACAAAAGACCTGCTAAAGATACTTGACAATGAGACGAAATACGTGGATCTGAACTGGATCCTTTCGCTGGGAAGGACATGACTGAGACAACTAGAGAACCTGGGCTCTGAGGATTGAATGGCAGCAATGCATCAATGTCATTTCCTGATTGGGATGGTTGTAGTGATGTTGGAGAATGTCCTTGTCGTAGGAAATCCACACTAAAGTATTCGGGGGCAATGGACCATCACACTGGCAACTAGTTTTAAATGGTTTGGGAGGGGGAGTTATTTGTACTATACTTCCAATTTTTCTGTAAGTTTTTAAAATTATATGATGATACCTATAGGTAGCAAAAATCTCCAGCTTAATACCATGGGGATAACAAGAATTGCTGCACTCATCCACACGGTTGGGAGAAAAGAAAGCACTCATCTGTGCAGTTGAAAATGTCTCTAGCAATGGAATTAAGCCTCCCCTGGAATCTTAAAAGATAATCTTGTCTCATTTTGATAAGCACCCCTCTCCCAGAGAGGTCAGTTCACTATTTTTCTCTGCAAACTCTGGTACTTAGTTTGGAAACCATTCTTCGTTCATTTGCAGAATTCCAAGCCTCTTTCCAGAGGTAGCTCCCTTTCTGAGAGAATGTCAGGAGTAGAGGTGATACATGTTGGAACCATGAGCTAACTGCTTTGGCTTGCCCAGATAGTCTTCTGTTGTCAATATCTTTGCTTGCTTTCTAATATTTTTTAAATTGTATTTTACTATAATTAGATGATTGCTAATGGACAGGAATTGCCCAATGGCAAAACGTAGTCAACCATTTTGCGAAAATCAGAAGATATCTCTGATAATTAAACAGGGAAGCAAGATTTAATTTTGCAAAAAATTCCAAAGTTTAAAACCAAAGCCCACTTTTAGGATGATCCTTTAAGAGAAAGACTAATCTGGAGGCAAAATATCTTATAAAATGACAGCTCATTTTCAGTAAACCAGGACATCATGGCGAAATGATTATGGCTAGTACTGATGATAAATCATTTTTATTATGGACCAGTCTGCTGCTTCCTTTTTTTTTAAAATTTTTTTTTTAAGGATTAGCACCAGAGCTAAGATCTGTTGCCAATCTTTTTTTTTTTTTCTTCTTCTCCCCAAAGCCCCCCAGTACATAGTTGTATATTCTAGTTGTAGGTCCTTCTAGTTCCGCTAGACGCCGCCTCAGCATGGCTTGATGAGTAGTGCTAGGTCCGCGCCCAAGATCCGAACCCATGAAACGCTGGGCTGCTGAAGTGGAGCGTGTGAACTAACCAGTCGGCTAACCACTGCTGCTTCCTTTTCAGTTACCTGAATATTGGAGACCGAGCCCCAATACCACTAGACTTTTTAAAGAGATCCATGGTCAGGTAGCTTTAGGAAATGCCCCACTATGACCAAGGCTGCTCTTCCACAGTCTTGGGATGGTCTTGCTCCTCCATCTCGTACGGCAACTGCTGACACCTCAGGGAGCTGCAAGGCTGGGGGAGGACCTCAATTTCATGATGACGTCAGTTTATGAAACTAGATAAGACCACTGCCAAGAAGTGCTTGCTCATCCTCCTTCAACGGCAGGGGGAATCTCCCTTTCCTTTTCTGGGTGAAGCTGAAAAAAGGATTCATAAACGAAGCCTGATCCTTCTCACCAACCCCAGCCCACACCTCCCAGCAATTGAACTTGAAAAAAACTTGGTTAAAACCACTTCCTATATTTGAGACTAGAGAAGAGAGTGCTAGGCACAATTTCCTGGCTGAACAAACCAACCTAATACTTATAGAGAGCAGGTCCTCACTGTCATAGAGAGTGGATGGACCAGCAAGGATGACAACCCGAACGGACTGACCTTTCATCCCCCACCCTCCTAGTACGATGTAAACAAGAGGCTGACGGGAAACCCAGCCTTCTGCAGAGAAACATCTTCTCTTCACTGCCCTCAAGTAGGCAGCCGATCCCAGGTGCCAGAAAGATGGAGCCAGGCTTGCTGGTGTGGGGACTCTTCACCATCATCATGGTACCCGGCTGCGTGACAGGTAAGGGCTCCTGGTGCCCTGGGAATCTTGGGAAGGCTAGTGGATGTTACCTCTCCCCAGTCACAGAGTCAGAGACGGCACTTAAGTAGAAAGAGCAGAGAAGGAGATTGGATCCTGGGTTCTACTCCTCGTCCACGGGAGCCCCATTTTATGACTCAACTGTCCGCGATCTAAAATGAGAGCTCGGAATGGTGGGCTCTCCAGTCACTCAAAGTCTTTCTCAGTTGATTCTGGGGGAGAATAGAGTGGCATGATCTTTGAATACTGACAGGATACAAATGAGCAGATTCCTCAAGAAATTGTCTTTTATTTTTCAATGGATTTTGTTTGCCATGGCACCCACTTGTTGTAAGATCATACTAATAATCTACCAGGAATCGCTCTAAGACCAGGTTCATGTGCCTGAGATGTCAGTAACTCATATACGAAACATTGGGAGAATTTCAGATCTCAGAAAAGCTTAGCTTCAGGGATGTGTACTTTGTGTTTTACCGCCTCAGGAAATAGTACCTAGGAAGCTCTTTATACGTGCAACTTTATAGAAATTTTAGAAAATATAAGCATACTCACTTTCAGAACACTATTCTTTCTTATGTCCTTGTGTGTATATATGCATGTATATGTATGTGTGTGTATACACACACACACACACACATATATGCAAATTTTGAATTCATTCATCCTTTCACATGGGTTTTATCAAAGATTTTTTTTTTTTAAGAAATAAGAAACCACCGCCGTCTACCTCAAACCACCCTTCCTAATTGAGTGTGAATTTTCTAATAACTTCTTCCCTTGCTTACTCAGGACGACAGATAAGATATCAAAGTCTATAATTTCATATTCTTAATTTCTAGATATATAAAAAAGTTAAGTGGCCACAGAAAGAGGTGTTAAGAAGTGAAATATGATGATGCAAACAAGGAGGCTTTCTGCTTGCTTGGGGGAAGTGGGCTAAGTTGTGTTGGGCTGTGAACTGACCCACGTGTAGGATCTCCTTCACTCTGGAGTTAAAGTGGGCATGATTTTTGGAAAGCTTATAATGTGATTTCTGCCTCAGCAGGGCCTTTGCAAAGTGGGAGGTCAGTCCGAGCCAGAACAGAAGAGGCTTTACAATTAATCATGCCTTATCTCTGGGAAACTCATTTCAGGGAAACTCATATTACTGCTAGCCATTGGTGACTTAGCTGAAGATATGAATGGTCTTGATGGCAGTGGGGCAAGTGGAAGTATTATGAGGACTCTTTCATTCACTTAATTCTCAAAAAATCTATCCAATACCTCTTATTCCCCTTTTCAACTCTGTAGGAAATACAAAAATGAACAAGGCATAGTCTTGACCCTTAAGAGATTTATAACTTAGTAAGGGGGAGGAAGACATAGATATAATAACAGTAATACAAATTGGAATGTGATAAGATCTATGGGAGCACGAGGCTGTCAGAGAAGGCTTCATGAAGGCAGCATGCAAACAGAGCCCCGAGGGACCGGCAAATTTCCATACTTGGAGATTCTGGATAGACAGGACCATATGAGCAAAGACACAGCAGAGCATTAGGGAAGAGTGAGTGGTCTGCTGTGGCCCATGGCACTGCATGGGGACGTGGGGATATTGGAAATGAAGACTGGAAAGGTAGGATGGAGTCAAACGAATGATCCAAGGCCTTAGCTAGCAAGCTAAAAATTTTCAATTTCATTTGGTAGACAATAAAAGACTACAAGAGGGCTGGCCCCCTGGCCTAGTGGTTAAGTTTGGTGCACTCTGCTTCCATGGCCCAGGTTCAGTTCCCAGGCACAGACCTACACCACTTGTTGGCGGCCATGCTGTGGTGACAACCCACATAGAAAATAGAGGAAGTTGGCACACGTGTTAGCTCAGGGCGAATCTTCCTCAAGCAAAAAGAGGAAGATTGGCAACAGATGTTAGTTCAGGGAAAATCTTCCTTAGCCAAAAAAAAAGAAAAAAGACTACTAGAAAATAAAAATTTCCATTTATAGAGTATCTTCTATATGCCATATATATGTCTTATTTTAATCTTCACAACTGCTTTGCAATGTGGATGTCACAAACCCACTAGATGAAGAACCCAAAATTCACAAGTCACACAGGGAGTGAAAAAACTGGAGTTCAAGCCCAGGTCTCTCTGGCTTGCGCTCTTTCTGTTCACTGCAGACAGGGTCAGAGTCTGTGGAGACGCCTCTGGCATGGAGTGGAGAGAGATTCAGTACACAGAGACCGGTTGTCAGACTCTTGAAATAGTCCAGTCCAGAGGCAAATGATGACTTGGTGGCCAGAGGATGAAATGAGTTGAGTTTCTGGGATCAACAAATGGTTTAGGAACCACTGCAGGGTAAGAAATAATCTCATCTCAGAATTTTTCCTCCAAGAACCCAGTCTTAAAATAAACAAGTCTTTTTAAGCCTCGCGGGTGAGAGGTCTCTAACGAAATCAGACAGATTGTCAACAGATGTAATTTCTAGCTGATTCATAAGGCAGATTTTCAATTTGAAAATTTCCAAAGCCACTATTTAAAATTGTGATGGCTTACAAGGGATGAATTAGTCAACTTGGGTGTTTTTAGTCTCTATATTACTGGGTCCTGGGATGTGGTTTAAAAGAGAATTCTCCTGGTGTGACCAACGCGGCACGTTATCGAAGGCACCTTTCTCAGAATTGTGGAAATTCTGAGAGTTTTTCTAAGCCTTGATCATCTTTCTTTCATTCTAGGAATTCTGTGATCAAATCTTCAACTCCTAGACCCAAAAAGAAAAAAAAAAAACACAAAGTATGGAAACCCATTAAAATGATATTTTTGTCTAACTATCCCTTCTTGTAAAGACTACTGCCCACACTGGAATTTCCCATCTTCACACTTGTCAGTCAAACAAAACATTAAACTGAAATATAATAATGTACACCTGAAATTTACACAGTGGTATAAGCCAATGTGACCTCAACAAAATAATGAAAATAAAACACAAAATGTTTAACTCTTCACATTTAACTATTCGATTTCTCTAGATCTCAAAGTGTAATTCCCACTGTTACTTTGCTCAACTTCAAGATACATCTTGGAGAGACAGCGCTTTGATAAGCTTAGGGAGTACCTCATAGAACAGTTGCTACTTTCTTTAAAAAAGCGTGTCTTAAATAGGCAGTCTTGTCTATCACCTGTGCATACGCTTCATTTTAGATCTGAGAAAACTGAGCCACAAAAAGAATTGACCTCACTAATGGTCAGTGAGAGATGCCACGAAAGAATTGTGGATGAGTTCCACCACTCCACCACTTGACCCCATTCAGCTCAAAGAGAAATACTCTTAGACTTCTTTGACTACAGCCTTGGGTATTCTGGAGACTTCCGTGTAATTTCTTGTTGAAGTCATTCCCGTCATAGCTAGAGTCACCGTTAAGTCAGGCTGCACCGCAACGTGGTGGCCACTCAAGTTAATTTCCCTGCTCTCCTCATTGCCAAATGATCAGCAGAAACCTTAAAAACAGAGTTCCCTTAGGAAGTGGCGAATGTCACCTGAGGTCAGTAGAGAGAAGAACTAGGAGGAAATTGAACTTTGCAGGGAGTTGAAAGTGGACCAAGGCCCCTCGTAAGAGAAGACATGAGAAGGGTGTGACTTTTGACAGATTGCTGTACCTCCCCAGGCCTCAGCTTCTTTCTGTAAAATGAGAAGGTTGATCAAGATGGTTTTGAGACCCCCTTCCAGTTCTATTGATCTATGTCGAGAATTCTGAAAAGGAAATGAAATGAGCTCTGCTTAAAAGGCATTTTCAAGCTGGGGTACTTTTGAATGAAAAAGTTTCCAGACTGAAGACATACATAACAGAGTCTGGGGTAAGAGACCTTTGAGAGCCAAAGTACCACAGCCTGACATCTCGTTGTAGGTTATTTCCAACTCTTGAAAGGTACTCCTCTGCACTCGAGCGTGACCCAAAGCTTCCGTAATTGTTGCACTTGTAAGTGTCAAGGCAAAAAAATGCTACTAACTGTTGGCGAGGCCTTCTGCTGTTTGCTTGTTTAGGGAATTTTTGCCCTCAAATGGTTTCCTTGTTTCTCACAGGAGAAGTCTTACATCAGTGGGAAGCTGTTTCTCTCCTCTTCTCCCCAGGTCATTTCCTGTAAGAAAAGGAAAGAGAATCTTAATTCAATCGATTGCTTCATAAGCTACAAGCCCTCCATCCCTGAAAATGTTCAAATACAGGCTGTCTTGCCGCTTCTGGGGGATGCTATCGAGGGGTGCATATGCTGGCTGGACAGACGGACGGGGTGGCATTCTGGGCCTATTCCAACCTCTCCATCCTGGTTCTCCTCTGTCTCCTTCCATCTTCTATTTTTCACTTCCCCTCCTAGAAAAGGAAATTAGGGATACGTGATTTTCGTAGTTTTCAAACCCAAGAGCACCGGGGTCACATAGGAGCGTGGATTCTTGGCTTTAGGAGAGAAAGCATGATCCAGCCTGCTGTCTGCTCCCTGCCCCAGACTTGGGGACGCTGCAAGAAGCAGAAGAGGAAGGAAAATCTGAGTGGGGAGGTGACTGAGGCCATGTGGTGGGAAGCCGCTGAAACTGGAAGCATGGGTTTATTTGTGTTTGGCAAGCTTCCAATAGCCAGACATTCAGAGTAAAGAGTTCCTCGTCCCCTGTCCTCTCCACAAAGTCATGGGCTCCCTTTCTCCGGAGTGTTTAAGCAGAGCTTAGGTGAACATTTGTCAAAAATGCTGCAGTGTTCCCAAACCAGGCAGGAGGCTAAAATGAGAGCCTCCGATCCCTCTGGACTTAGAATCTAGTCTTCCTTCTATCTGGGCTGACAATGCGTGCCACCCTGGGATCAGTCTGTGGCCCACTTGGGTCCTCTAAAGCTACTGGAGATCTGTAAACTCCCTGAGACCCTCCCCTCTCATTCGGTTCTTCGTCTAGACAGGTATGAGCGAGGAAAGACTGGAGACCCTCAAGAGCTTCCTTCTCTCCTGTCTTCGTCTTGGGTGACC